AGAATGCCTCCTGGGCGTGCACCTTAACAATGAGTGGCTCCTCATCTGCCCAGATGATTTCAGCATCGTTTCCATTCCAAAACACCAAAAGTTGGTGCAAGGATGATGGGACTACCATCCAAGCGTGGATCCAGTCTCTCCCTACCAAGACCTTGTAGCTGGCAGCGGCCTTTACCACGAAGAATGCTGTTAGCGCGGTTTTGCTGCCAACTGTCATGTCTGCGGGGAATACCCCCATTGTTTTAGAGATTCCTCCTGTGAAATTAATGATGCATAAATCTGTGGGCAGCAAATCATCTTTGTTCTTCCCGAGTCGGTTCAGAACGGACCATGGCAAGATGTTAACTGCGGCCCCGCCATCGACCAATACCCAAGACACCGGAACTCCCTCGAGATGTACCTTTCTATTATATAGATAGAGCGGCTTCAGGTGCATAGTCATAGCAAAGGGGGGTCGATCTATGAGGACCCGAGCTGAGCTAACTGGTCGAAGGAAGCTCATGTCTTGGTTCTTTTGGATGATGGTAATCATGGGACTTCCTTTGATCCAAGCGACGGGCTCAATTTGCTCCCTTTGTTGTTTGCCGAAAGACTCACCAGCCTTGTTCTCTTTGGGTTGGTCATCTCCCCCATCCTCTATCTTAGACACGATTTGTCCTGGTTGTTTTGCCAAGCATAGCGCACCCCCCTGGATCTGCTGGGGTTGCCCGGTCTTTGCCCCGAAAGCCAAAAGCAAAGTGAACACCATATTGCATGGTAGGACGCTTGGTGGCAAAGAGCCAAACTGAATGTGTTGTAGTTTCTCTTTTTATAAAGAAGGCTTCTCGCGGGTTGCTCCTTTTCTTTGCCATCTGCTTTTTTGGCTTCTTGACGGCCCGTGCCTCTCCGCTTTTTGAGTCTTCTCGGACGTGACAGATCCAAGATGAAAGATGATCGGGGCTTTCTCCTTTTCTTTCATGATTGAGCCGATAAGAGCAGAGAATGAGAAAGTCAACCGTAAAAAGGAATTTCAAAGGAAATTCTGTCGAAGCGGGTGAAATGCGGACCTTTTATAAGTTCAAAGGTAAGAATATTAAGAAGTCATGTGACCATGCAGGCGGGCCTGGACTCTTTTCTTTCTCCTCCGGCGAATGATTTCACTTTTCTGGCCCTCAACCAAAGACTAAAAACTCACCCAAGCCTTTGGGTAAGGCTAAGTAGGGTAGGAAACTCTTTCTTGCGGATTTCACAGTTCACGTGTCCCCGCATTTAAGTCTGAAACGGGTGCTAGCTTGAAAACCGCCACAGTTAGCTGTCGGTTGAGGCCTCACCGGGCTTTCATAAATCTGTATCTCTTATGAATAGTAGGGCAATGAGGGAGAACTTATCGACGACAAAAAAGACGAGGTTTCTGTTGGAGGGTCCCTGCCGCCCCGAGTCAAATGGAATTTAAAAAGACTTTTTTTTTATTAAAAAAAAAAAGGTGGCATCTCGAAAGTGCCGCTAGGCGGTTTAATCATGGAACGCCCAAAAAGCCTGGTAAAATGCGAACATTATTATTCTAAAAAGATGCCCTAGAACATACATGTTATTGAATTGAGTGAGAGGTCCCTTTCTTTCCTACTACTGAACCCGGAAATTGCGTAGATTGCTTTGCTTGGAATTCCCCAAACCAATCCCTGTCATTTCACACGGAAAATGGTATGTTTTGAGCGTTTGAAGTGGACGAACAATCAGCGTACGTAATCGAGTTTCATGCCATCATGTCTTTCTGCCCAGCAGCGCCGGAAACCGCTTTCATGCGTCTTGGTTGTTGGTAGAGGCCTGAAAAGATTCTATTTGAAAAAGTTTCAAAGGCTTGAAGGAGCGTAGCTTTATTCAAAAGGAATTGATAGGAATACTAATATCTCTCCGATTATCTCCGTAAGAAAAAAGGCTGTTTAAGTTTATGAATAGCCGTTCCAATGCGCGGAATCGAAAAAAGACTATCTATCTTTCCGGATCATAGATCAGATCAGAGAATTCCCTCTTTCAAGCTTCCTTATAGGAAAAGGAGTTCAAAAAGGTAGAGACAGTCCGATCTAGCCAGTGAGCAGCATGTCTGCTTTCGCTTCAATATCTTTACACCTTTCAGATATCACTAGGGACGGTGAGTCGTGGAGATGGTACATGGACCTATAAGTCTCACTGGGACGGGGACAAATGGAACGACGAAGACTGAGGCGGAAAATTGCTTAAAGAAAAGATGAAAAGCGAGAGCACCAATGAGAGCAGAACCACGTCTTAGCTCGGAAAAAAACGAGCCAAACTTTAAGGATCGACGTAGCAGTTGATCTTAACCTATCAGTTGATATTTTTTTTATCACGGAAAAATAGGAGAAAAGAGAAAAGGAGATGTTCGCAATATTCGAAAAGGTGAGAGGGATTGTCAACGTGAAGAAAGGAAATGAGACGAAGGAAGCAAAGGCTAAGGGCTTTGGTACCAACGCAGACACTAAGATAAGGCAATTTAGTCATTTCTTCTCCGAAACAGCTTTGGGTATTTCATTCAAGTCTGCGGGTAGAAGAGATTGAAATGATCTCAAAAGTAGCTCTCACCTCTTCTCTAAATGCTGTTTTCCAACAATGTAAAGTACACCTAAGGGATATAACTCAAATGGCGAAGAGGGACTTTTTTTAGTATTCCGGTCACCCTCCGGCAACCGGATTTTGGGTTCCACATGGATTCTTCACATTGTTGCAGATGCTCCAACTGATCTTTGGCATCAACCTCTTTTTTCTTTGAATCACCAGCAATCTTCCCTCCTCTCGCAAAGCTCGAGCGTCAGCTCGAGGGCTAATGGCGCTAGCTCAGGCCCTTGCTTGTTCGTTAGCGCAACGGCTTTGACGCTATTGAGTTTGATTTCGGGGTGAAGCTTACTTGTTAGAGTAAGGAAAGCAGACAGTGCGGATCTTCACTTCAATCATAGGAAGCAGAGAGGACTGGATCTGGATACCATAAGGCACATGCAACAAGATGAAAAGCGTCGGAAAAGAGGCTTCATGGAAGAAGAGGTTGGGCTGATTTTGAGCTGCCCTTAGACCGATTCTCTCTTTCGGTTCGGTAGCAGACACCAAGATAGGCTAGGCTGGGAAACCTTATTCGTATTCGATACGATAGGACAGGTAAACAAAGCAAGGCCTGGAGTGAAAGAGTCTGGGTCAAGAGATTTTCCCCTGGAAGCCTGCCTAGAAGGATAAGAGAAGAGGCAGGAAGACGGGCTTAGCTCTTTTCAGGTTGAGAAGGTTGAATTGAAAACTTTCACCTGGTCTTGGTTGAATGCTTTCTGTAGAGAGAAGATTTTAGGTATGAAGTGTCTGGTTTGATAAAACAACCAGGAGTGGGCACGGAAAACTAAATCTGCAGGACCTGGCCTCAGCAATTCGAGTAGCAGAAGGCTTTATTTTATATGGAGATAATTCGTCAACCACCAAATCAAACTTATAAGGAAACCCCATCGAAGAGATAGAACTACCTTGGCCTATTCCCAACCATATCTTGGCTATGGAAAAAAAGGTAGTAAGTCTTTCCTTAAAAAACTAATTCAACGGCCAATCCAATATGGAAGATAGAACAAAATGGGTCTCAATACGGCTCCTCTCCTCTCACTCTGGTCGAGCTGCTACGCTCCTCATTGACTGGAAATGATTGAGATTGTATCGCTTACTAGAGATCCTGAGAAGCTCAGAATGCAACCAACCCCTAGTGCCCCCTCTCTTTCAATATCGGTGGATCCTAGGGATCCGTTTGATTGATAGAAGGATCAGGGAGAACCCCTATCCGACCAATGGATCTTCCAACTATCATTCTCAAGGACTTGAGGCAGCCTCTATTAAAGCAGTTGCTAAATTGATATAGCGATCCCTTGAATCCAATGCATCCATGGAACCAATCGCAGATTCTGGAGCCAAAGTAAGAATAGAAAAGCTAAGCTTTCAGGCAAGGGAGGTATAGGCTACAAAAGAGAAAGTCTTTCCAGTCCTACAGCTTCTCTAGCTTGAGCAGTCAGTAGTCTTCACCTTTACAAATTTATACGCGTCAGCGAGAAAAGGTCAGCATATAGACATCATCTTGATGGAAATTCCAACGGAGATAATTAATAATCTAGCTCGGGCTTCCTTAGTTTTCTTATTTAGTTAGATGGTAAAAATATAATCAATGGATGAACGCTTAACGCCCCCTTAGCGGCCAGCTGCTTCAGATTCATCGAATTCCCTCCCCTCCCCCTTTGCTTTGCTGAAAGCACTTCCTATAGCGAACCAGGCAAGGAACATATTGAGTAGGCTGGTACCAATTTCTCCACATCAGCAGCAACATAGGCATCTGAATCTTAAGTAGGAAATTCCTTCATCTCAGATGATGTGGGTAAGGTACAAAAATTTCTTTCAATTTCCAGGTAAAATGAGCGGAGACGAGTTTGAGTTTATCAGCACACCCCCCCGTAGTCGGTTCTCTCGGAAAAAGTTGGGTAGAAACTGAGCTTGTAGAAAGATCCCGTTGATTTTCGGGCTGGCCCTTGCCTATGGAAAGAATGGTGTCTCAGAAAGTTGTTGAATGCCTCAACTTCGGATGATGACTAGCGGATCAAAAAACCATTTAAGGCACATTTTAACCTAATTAACTGAAGCAGATGCAGGATCCGAAGTCTTCGACTCAGGCTCAGACGAACCGAGAGTCCTGTCTATCCTTAGTCACAGCGAAAGACTTCTACTTGATAGCTATACCTCTGCCCAACAAAAAAGCACTTTTGGATCTCCAAATGCACCACCCACTATCGGATGGACTTATTGCTCAGTTTCGTGGTGAAATTCCACTTCCCTTTTTCATAGCTATTATGGAGGCCCTCACTCAATTCTAATCTCGAAATCTTTACCCGATCTGGAAATGCTTATCTTATATGGCACCATAGGTCTTAGTTTCGTTTCCTATATGCGCTTTTGTTCCATCCGACTTCAAGAACTTGTAGGGGGCCACCCACCCTTTCCCCTTTACCCTCTCACTCCTGCTGGAATGAAAGGCCACATCTAACTTTGCCCAAACCACTGGAATACGAATGAGATCTATAATTACACCATATAATAGTACATGGCTTTTCTTCTCGAACCCACCTCCTCAAAAAAAATTGCACCTACATAAATTGCTGAAGTAAAAAAACAACTTGTTGAAATTCGGGGGATCAAATTCCGAAAGATTTCGATATATAGGAAGAAGGTGTGAACATGACCTTGAATTGTTATGAACGTAGATGCCAATTTGTGAAAAAGTGAGTCCAGGCGGAAGAGAAAAGTGATCACCATAAAAACGAAGTACAAATTTGTGAATTCTTCTTTCAATCTGCGATTGGGCCGTATCAAAACAAATGTCCCAAAGCCGATTTTCCATTTCCATGTCGGTCATCCCCTCGTGCGAAAAGCCCGATACGTTATAAGAACGATGAGCGGACTAGCCGCAACGCCAATTATATGAATGAGCTGAGAAGTGATTTCGGTAAGAACAGATGATAGTAATTCGGTCATGGATCTTGTTTCCAGGGTGGCAATTCTTGTTCCCTCTTCTTTTTACCCGGGGGGCCGCCTTGCGCAGCTTTAGAAAGGAGAGAATTTAAGAAAGTCACTCTCTCCAACCTTTTCTATCTATCCTTAGAAGTTGGGCGAGAGAAAGTCAATATGATATTTGCGTTGGCGAAACTAAGCACTTTTTTTTTTCTTTATCATTCGGAAGGCTCAGTCCCACACTCTGACTTCAATGATGGGAACAACCTCCGCACTCCGGCGCTCCAATGAACAACAGTTCTCCGCCTTACTTTATTTTTTATAGTGGTCGATCCCTCGGGAGTTACATTCGTAACTTAATGTTATGTTCACGCGGTGATATTATATCTTTCCAAGAGTACTACCCTGTACGTAGTCTATGTCTGGGGAGCATACTTGACAGGAGATAGACACAGGCGGTAGAGAGGTCCCCCACTTCGATTCCCGCCCCGTTAGCATCTCCGATCCGAGATAAGGGATTAGTCCGTTAGGTCTTTTCGGTCCGGAGCCGGCCGGTAATGGACCTACTTACCTTGCTTGTGGACCAGCTGCAGAGCTAACCCTTGTTCTATTGGTTTGGCGGTTGCTACCAAGACGATTTCTTTATGCCCATCAAAGGACCTCGAGATGCTAATCCACGAAAAACGATACGAGAAATTCGAAAGAACTCATATACGGAACGAGGGCGACCCGTGGAAATACATCGGTTTCTTACTCGTGCAAAGGAACTATTTCTTGGCAACTTGGACAACTTATAACGAAGTTTGTCCCGCATATCACTAGGAAGATCGGAATCTTTACAAAAGGCTTTATAAAGCTTTCGTCTCAATTCATATTTAGCCGCGAGCAATCTACGTTTGTGATCTCGTATATTTCGCTTCTCCGACATCTCTTACTGGGTTTCCCCCTCATCTTTTTGCAAAAAGCCGCTCCACGGTGGTAAAGTCTCATCTTGTGTGTTGGCCGAAGTGACAATAGTCACATTGAACCCTCGAATATGTTCGAAGATCTCGAAATGATCTTCCAGTTCCGGGGAGAATTCGCAAAACTCCGTTTCCATCGAGAATTGAATGGAGTTTTCCCGTATTTCGACCGGAGAATCTAACAGAGACATTACTGTCGAGATTCTGACCGAAAAATTAGACATTCCATGCCCTCGGAGAGTGCTTTGTCGTGCTAGGTCACTGACATATCCTTTGTCTTTATTTGCCCCCAAGAATGGATTGGATCGAAACGACTTTCCTGTCGAACCCCTTTGTGTCTGTATTAATTTCTGACCGCGCGGAATCTCCATAGCCAATTTTCCATTTTTGATTATGAAATCATAGGGTGCCTTTGGTACTACTCTTATTTCAAACGATCCAGGAACTTCCATAACGTTGGCGTGATTCGGTTTGAGCAACGGATCCTGACGTGATACATCTTCGTAATGAAAATTGAGTGGAAACATGAGTTGGCTTTTACATAAAGTATCTATAGAATGAGCACTGTTAACTATCCGCTTCAAAAAGATAGTTCTAAGCTAGTCAGATGAATCACAACTAGGGTCATCATCATCACTATACGATAATTGGATTTGGAATGTTCGCTTCTCTTCTTCTTTTTCCCGTTGAAGCAGTGTTCCCCAACCCCCGGAGGGAACCTAGCTCTACAGCATTGCATGAACATTGTTTTCTTTCTATTCCTCTTCTCTCACTCGTGTTTCGCCGTTGAAATGGCAGCGAGTGTTCGAACACTTGCCGACGGATTCTTAAAGAGGATTCTATTAGTAGTCGCTGATGGTTTAACCAAGGAGTCCTGCATTGCACTCTACTTACACTTATATGCTAAGGAAGTCAGACGCTTATATACTAAGTCTGGACCCTTGTTCACTGCGCTTTATCTTAAGCAGTGCTCAAGTTCTCTCCAGATGGCGTATGGAGGAGATAAGCGCCCTCCGGAGCGTCTGGCTGTACCTGTCTCTCTATCCAGGTCGGGTTTTCCTCGAATCATTCCATCCTTTGTGCGTCATAAGATGTACAAACGGGACGACACGGCTGACATATTGGTGAAGTGTTGGTTGTCTCTCTTTTCGCTTGCAAGAATTTTTCTTGTGGCGAAGAGGGTAGGGTGGATGCCTCCACTTTTACTTCCATGATTTCACCTGTTGAGGATTTTGATCGAATGTACCAATTTGTTAAGGGATTACTTGGGAGCCAACTTGGAAGTTGGAAAACTTCCTTCATGTTCTCAATTAACAAAGAAATTACTGAAGGATGGTCTAAGTCCGTCTCTGGCGAAAGCAAAATCTTGCTTCAATGTTTTCCCATATGAGCTCTCTGCATTTGTTCATCTTATGCAGTTTGTTCATACTCGGGGTGAACAATGGTCGCAAGGTGCTCTCTGGCCACATTATGTGCGCTATGCTAGGGATGATTTAATAAGATCATCTCTGGCTGGTCACTTGATTGGTTTGAGAGGTGTGTTGGTCCAATGTTACCTGCTAACGTGGGTTATCAGCGGATCGTCACAGGCAGACTACTGGGTTGCTCGTTAGAGGGTGCGGGGGGAAGGCGTATATTTGCTATAGGCAACTACGTGAACCAGCGCGCCGGTTCATGAGTGGTTGTGTGTCATCCTTAAAAGGCTGCCTCAGGATGCTTTTGGCAGACGGCACCGCTTGATCGTCTCAAAGATAAGCAGACATGTTACTCCTTTTATTTGAAGTAAGCCACAGATAGGTGGCCTTTGTACTTCTTATTTAGGATCATGTGCTTCTTATTTGACAGATCTTTTGCGTCTAGTGTTGTTAATTCGGCACTGGCCACTAATCTGTTTGAAGTGCCGTTTGTTAAGCGGCACTCCACTGTTTCCTTTGTTGCCGGTCAACCATTAGGCTATGCGTCTTGGCCTCTCTTTGCTCTCTCCCATCATATATTAGTATTAGTGTGGTGGTGTGCAGAGCTAGTATATCCGGGACGTCCTTTCCGGGATTATGCGATCCTTAGAGATGATGTTGTCATTGTTGATGAGAGTGTAGCGAAAGTCTATAGCGCCGCTTTGGGGGATTTAGGAGTAACTATATCCTATTCAAAATCCCTAATCTCTCATAGTGGTTCTGCAGAGTTTGCGAAGCGTTTTAGGTTTCGGCCTGCCACTCACACTCAATCCTTATGTCAAGGGTGTTATTGCTCGTGACTAAGGTGTTGAGACCGAAGGAGCTGACACCCGCCCCATCTGAAGTTCAATTGAGCCAAGGCGCAGTTGATTTTCTTGAATGGTCTCCGCTCAGGAGGCTCTCCTCACAGAAATGTTCGGCGGTTCGGTGGCATCTTTCCTTGGTAGATTTGTTAGAGAAGGACTTATTTCAGAAAATGTTAATAATAGGGCAACTCCATTCAATAGGGAGGGAGGCATGGAATTGGATGCTTCCCCCCTTTTCAGTGCAGGAAGGACTGCTTGGTGAAATGACGTACTTAGGATTCCCTCACTGTCAAGCAAGGGAATGACGAAAGGGTATCAAAACAACTCTATATAAAGATAGCCTACATTGAACCAAAGGAAAAACCGAATGAGATGTCGTATACGCAAATGCTCTTTACGTTGCAGGCATAAGCGCTGCAAACATGGCTACTTCATCTCTTTTTGGAAGAAAGCTCTAGTGAAAATAGGTAACCCAGGAGCAAGCGAAGGAAAGACAGTCAATAGGAATTCTCTCTACTCTAGAACCCATAGGCCTAGGAGCAATAGACTGAAGAGGTACGACATCTGTAACAAAGTAAGTAACAAAGGAAGAAGGAAGAAAAGCCAGGGACGAAGAGGTATAGAAAACCTCATAGAAGGCCATTAAGCAGCAAAGAGGACTTTCGGTCAGTGTTCTAGGCCTTTTGTTAGCTCGGTTCCTCAAGCTAGTAAGTAGCTGTCCCTGTCCTGCCCTTGAGCCAGTGAACCTCAGGTCGAAAGATGCCTGCCAGTGAGACAGAGTCATTCCAACCAGTACCAATGCTTTTGATTGATTTCATATATGCTCACGATCCAGTCAAGAAAAGAATTCTAGTACGAGTAGTGAAGGAACTGACTCTTATCAAAAGGAGGACGGGACTCTTGATGTTGATTCAATCTCCCTGTAAGCAACGACGTTAGACGAATTAGCTCCTCTTGGGAATAATTTCCATTATCATGGACAGGTGAGCCCTACCACTCTCAAACTCACTACTAAAGAGATGTCTATTGGCCATTCTCAACACTGTGAATCCGCATCAATGCCATTCTTGCTAAGAGCAGTGGCATCTTTGTCCCTAGCTCACTGGGGAACCAGGATCTCCCCTCATAGGTCTATTGATAGCTCCGCCTTAGTCGAGTGAAGTCGGCGGGGCTCTTTGTCCAAAGCTTCTGCTGGTCGACTGCCCTATTCTAATTCTGACTTGGCTTGATTCTTAGTAGACCAACCGCCCCCCGTTCTTACCTTTTGTTTATGAGATTCATTGATTCTAAAGGTGGCAGGCATCCTGCGCTAATAACCCTGTCAAGCTCTTTCAGAGAGTTCGCTTCTGTAAGGGAATAACCATTTTTGATTTGTCTCGCTCGAAAGCTATGACCTGCCCCCCGGACTCGATTCCGTCCATGCGCAACTTCTCCGCAAGCTGTCTCGTTGTCCCTCGTGCATCACATTTATTTAGAAGTTCCGCCGATGAAGAATGCTTTTCGGGCGTAGAAGCTTTCCTTAACTAAAGCATTCCCTTTCCCGCTTGACTGGAGCATTTCATTTCTTTACTTGACTGGACCAATTCATATATAATTTATATTGATAAGGATTCGCAATTGGATTACCCATTGTCTAATTCGTTTCGTAGCTAATTGGCCTGAGATTCGATCTTTCTCCTTCGACGGAGCCTAGCTTTCTGACTGGGCAAGCAGCTCTTACCGAATTAGCTCCTAGACTGCTTTCAAGGTTCACTACGAACAGCAGGGACGGAAACTCCTACAGGCATTCCTCGTTACTTGACTGACCCACAATCCATTGAATAAGTTCAGTTCAACCTGATATTCCATTTGTACAGAACGGAGAAAGAGAGTGGGGAAGATCGATAAGCAAGTCAGCCCAAATGCTTGATGAAGGAAGAACCCACATGCTTTCTTTTGATTATGGACTTTCCGGGGTAATTCCATGTTTTTAAGAAGCTTTCTTCTAAGCCCCGGAATTCAATTTGAATCTCACTCTAATAGGGCAGGTGAATGAAACTCTTATATGGCCACGCTCTAAGCTAAGTTGATCATTGGATCACTCTTGATGTACGAAGATACTAGAGATATCATCCAATTCGATTGAAGCAAGGAGAATAGAAATAGAAAGAATTAGAATTCGTTTTGTGAAAAGTGAATCAAATCAGTTGTGAACCACTCACGTAACGGTCTTAGCTGTCCCGTTGTGAGCTGTCCACAGTGCCGGTCAATGTCTGATTATGTGCCCTGAATGATTCTTAGGAGTTTCAGTAAACCTCCGACCACTTAATGTTATTACCCTTCGGACAGGACTCTTTCTTATTATCTTTGCGGGACTGACTCTGATAGTGGGAAGGTGGAAGGGTAAGAGCTTTCTAGAGAACTTCACTATTTAGGAAGGGGACGGAAGCCACTTCTTAGAAATGCACGGCTTAGTTTACTTTCCGAACCGTTCTAGTGTTCCAAGCTCAAGGTTCAAATCCCATAGATAAAAGATCCAACTTTTTCTCCGGAAATGCTCAAGTCAAGCTCAATATCTCATTAGGAAGGGAATGGTGTCTAGTCAACCAACCTCCTCTTAGAGAAGGTAGGACGGAATTCGTTCTGTGTGCCTTTCTTTGCCTTCGGGCTTGGCACGGGACTTCTTATTAGATTCTATTTTAAAGGCCGTACTAACTTCTTTTTCTTTTCAACTAGTGATTACGTTTTGGGCTACCTTTAGTGAAGTGTTATTTATTTCTCTTTCTTTTAATTGTCTAAGGTGATAGCCTTAGCTAAGAAAGTGGATAAATCTACTTTCACCTCGATCACCACCCCTGTGTCTGATCTGGAGGTAATGTGTGAGCAAGTGGGTTTGATTGTGAAGAACCTTAAAGTCTTGCTCAAACGTTACCCACCCTTCTTCCCAACCATACCTCTGTATCAAGGTATGACTTGGGATCCGACCTGGAAGGCCTTACCTACGCACCCATTGACTCAACGGTGTTGGGTCCAAAGATTAGGCAAGAGCGTGAAGCAGGTCCGAAATATTCGTTCTTGCTTATGAACTAGCGAGTTTTTATTTCTTTCTAGTCGGGCCTCATACTTATGGAGAGTCATGGCCGCAGGGTACCTTGTGGCCTCCCCCACAGTACGATATGTGTATGACAAGTTTAACGACTTGTTAAGTGCGTGGGATCTGGACTGGTTTACTAGCCGAGTCCATCCCTACTTGCCATCACCATTCGACTATGGGATTCCACCAGTTACTGGCCGTCTCGGTCAGACTATTGAGGGAGGAGGCAAAAGGAGAATATTCGCCATTGGTAACTATGTCAATCTCAATCAGAGGCTGCTGAAGCCGGTCCATGACTGGCTAATGCAAGTGCTTAGGAGGATTCCCATGGATGGAACCTTCGCTTTTA